AATTATATCATTTTCGCGTTTCTTTTTCTTATTTTATAAAATTTATTCTTCAAGTTATATGATGTCGAGTGCTCGTGGTGGTGGTCATGCCGGTGATCGGCAACCACAAAAGCATACAAATGTAGATGAATCTTCTTTGAGTATACCTCCATTGTCGATGCCGAGACAGACAGTATACCGGAACGTTCTTGGTCTTACCGATGACGTTGAGCCTGAGATGGTCCAACACATATGTCATTATACTGAGGAAATCCATGAGAACTTAAGTTCGAGGAGAACGAGGAGAAGTCATATGAAGACAATTTTGATCCTACTCACGGTGGAGGAGACGAATAACGTCGACGGACTTGGACAACCGTTGGCGAGGGTCAAGTGTTGAAATCCGACATATTGACAGCACTTCACAAAGGTATCTAATGAGAAAAAGGTGACAAATATTTTATATGTATTTACAACCATCGTCTGCCCAACTCCAAAAAAAAGTACGTTTTAAAACTCTACTATGAGCACAGAACGATACAACGACATGTATGGTCACATCATCCAGTCAAAATGGGGATTTCAACGACCAAACTGCAATTCCGATCTTAGGCGGGAGTAGGACTGCATCCACAAGTAAGTCTTCTACTTTACATCAATACTCTCATCAAAACCAACAAAAAAAAAAAAAATAGCTGAATTTGTTTCTACTTCGTCTCTTCCTTTCGATTTTGTTGATTCTGATTTATATGAAATTTTTTCCCAAATGAATTTAAACCTGAATGCATCTCGGATTCCACGTACTACTCTCACTCATGATATTCAAACAACTGTGTGTGAGAAAAAACTAATTTTGGCGCAAAGTTTTAAACCAAACAAGTTCTATTTATTATGACATTTGGTCCGACCTTTGGTAAGATAATTTTTACATGAAAATTATTTGTCATTGGGTAGATGATAGTTTTACATTATAAATATAATTAATTGATTATACATGTTTTTTCTAATTCTCACACTGCTTCTAATATTGTTCGTTTAATTTTATGTGTCTTGAATACTTATAGAATTGGTAAAAGTTTTTTTTTTCCATTTCTTTTGATAATAATAGTGCTAATACCTCATCTAAAACTGAAGAATTTGTCGTCTCCTATGTGGGAAAAAAAATTCATGTTCGGTGTATGTATCATGTCTTTAATCTTTGTGTTCAAGCGGATTATCATGCTTTGAAAGAGTCGGTCACGCCCATTAAGCTACTTATATCGTCGTCTGCAAGAAATGAAAAATGGGAAAATTTTGTAGAGAAAAAGGTTTTACACCTAAAAAATTTCAACCAGACTTTCCTACCATTTGAAACTCAACTTATAAAGTGTTACTTAAAACTTATGAATTACTCATCAATTAGAGGAATTTTTTCATAGTTCTCAACGTAATGAGTGTGATGTCACCATTGGTATTGTTGACTGGGCAAATTGTCACACACATATGAGGTTATTAGAAACATTTCAAGATGCTACTAACGTACTTTCTGGTATTTACTATCCTACTTCTCAACTTGTTGTAAGTCAATGTGAAACAATAATGTGGGCTTTTAGAGATTTTTTTTGTTAGTGATCCTGACAAACACGACGAACTTATATGAGATATGTTAAGAAAAATGGGTAAAATATTATTTTTCATTCAAGATACATTTTTAGTCGCATCTTTGTTAGACCCGTCATTAAGTGAAAATAGCTTGCTCAACCAACTTCACACATATTATGATATTATGCATCAACTCTCACTTTCCACTGATCTCTCGGCTATCAGCGTAACACTTAAACCCACGGCGGCTTGTCGAGAACTTTTATTGTATGAATTGTTTAGGGAAACATCAATCGGACTCGAAAAATCCAAAGTCATTTTCTTCTGATGCTTTCGGGTCTTCTTCCAATGAACAATGGGGACAGACAACGCATGAAGACTTTGGTGACTGGTGGCACGACAATTTTAATCCCTACACAAATGCTAAGATTCAAATGTCAAGGGGGATTTGATAACCTGAGCTCGATCACTATCTCACGATAATTGATACTTACAATTGCTCGTGAACTAGTTTAGCCACAAAAATTTGTCGTATTGAGTTGGTGGTCAAAGATGATTCTCATTTATAATAATCCATGCTTGATGGTCAAGGAGATTTTTGTTGTCCTGGCCTCAATAATAGTGGTCGAACAATCATTGAGTGATGGAGAAAATACATTGGACGCACGACGATCGAGGTTGACGCTACAAAACTTGGAGGTTCAAATGCTAGAGAGTAACTGAACAAAATGCCGAAATGAGGGCACAAACGACCAAGCTAACTGCCGAAGATGATGAAAAAGAAGAGACATTCGATTTCACTGGTTCTGCTAGTACTAGTGAAAACGTTGGAAATGAAGAGTACTACGAGGCCTATGTCTACCATTACTAGATCGTCAGTTCAGTCCTGCCATCTATGTTCATCTAAGTAAATAAATAATTTAACTTCTAATATGTAAACTAACTTCAAGTCAAAGTTCCTTAACAATCGGCCCGACTAGAATGGTTGAACCTGCCGGTAAACGAACAGCTCACTGAACTGGCCGATGATTCCGACTTGGAATCAGGGTTTGGCGATGCCTAGATGCCCAATACATATCCAAAAGGCATTTATATTTTCAGATTTTTTTTTTTCAAAACGATAGAAATATTATTAATAAGAAAACACATATATACATCTAGAAACAGCTCAAAAGCTGAAAGAATAGCTCAAAAGCCGAATCTAGTGGGAGGACAGATCCCGAGGATCGCCTAGAAGTTCAACAAGAACAACTCACCCACTAAAAAAACACATAAAAACCACAAACACAAACAAACTCAACAATTGGAGAAAAACTCCCCAACAGGAGGAAACTACCCCCTCCCCTACGGGAGAATACCCCTCCCCGACGGGAGAAAGCACTCTCCCCCCCTCAGGAGAGAACGCACTTATACCAACCGAAACCACCCAACCAAAAACAACAACCCACAAAAAGCACTACAAACCACACTAACACAAAAAACTAGACAACAAACACAAAACAACACCACTAAAAACGCAAACAAATATAAGCACACAACACCCAACTCAAACTAACAAAAACCAAACACGCACAAAATAAACAAAACAAGACAACTAAAAACTAAAGCTAGATGACACCCTTCCCGCAACCGGCAGAC